TGTTCCATTTTTGTGGATCATTGAGAAGATCATTAAAATAAAAAGGACATTTCAGTTTCATATCAGTATGTAGTGTCTCTACTTTAAAGAGTCCTCTCCTGCTGATGTTCAGGTGTATATCAGTATGTAGTGTCTCTACTTTAAAGAGTCCTCTCCTGCTGATGTTCAGGTGTATATCAGTATGTAGTATCTCTACTTTAAAGAGTCCTCTCCTGCTGATGTTCAGGTGTATATCAGTATGTAGTATCTCTACTTTAAAGAGTCCTCTCCTGCTGATGTTAAGGTGTAACAGAAACATTAATAGCTTGCAATTAATGTTTTATCAATCTGCTTCTTAATAGCTTGCAATTAATGTTTTATCAATCTGCTTCTGCAAAGTAACTAAAGCTCAAAAAATGAAGTGAAGTATGTATTTGCCTTCAAAATATACAAAGCATCGTAGAAGTGAGTATAAAAGTGAAGCACTCTAATAAATGTACCTAAAAACTGTCCACCTCTCATGTCAGTACACTGACAAATACTTCAATTATTAAACAGAGCATCAAGAAGAAACGTCTATTTCTGTCTTCTCTTCACCAGTTGTGGTAGAAGTGTGAATATTAGAGTGAATTTCAGCGGTGCTTCGGGGTTTCCTGTGCTGTCTGAACAATTACAAAAATAGGAAATATAGGAAACGCAACACACGACGGGTTCCAATTAAAAAAACAACTCTCAGACACTATTTGCTGTGAATTTTGTATATTTTATAACCTTTTCTCATTATTTGGTATATTTAGCTAATTCCAATTAACCCTTTTATTGTTTTATTCAGCTTCTTAAAAAGGATATCCAGTTTTCGTGTTGTATAGTTTTAGCATGATATCTTTAAGGATTGTGTGCTTGCTGCAGCTTTATTTACTTTTCCCGAGAATTACCTCGATCATGTCGATGAGGTTGTAGAAGAACTGTGTGTTGTCGATGGTCAGCTTGTTGTCCTGGTATATGACACGGTAGTGGACAACGTCTCTGGAGACACTCACACACAGGACGTAGTCTCCTGGGTGGCGGATGGACTCTCGGACCAGAAACAGCCCGTCCTCTGCCGGCTGCAGCTTACAAACCGCCTCTGGACCCGAAATCTTCCCGTGGAACCAACTAGAGACAGAAAAACACCAAATGCATGAAGTGTGGACGAGAAAAATACCATAATAGGATGACAGAGTGGTTCAATGATAACGTATTTCGGTAGTGGACCCTGAAGGCAGCATCTCCCTGGTTCAATGGGATTTCTCCATTTGATTTTTGAATATTGCAAAAAATAATCTAACAAACGTTCATGATTATTACGCGTTTTGATTAGCAGGATAATCTCCACATATTTACACCACTTTATCATTTTTTAAGTAAGAAGCTAACTTTGACTATAAAGGAACTACAGCACGGTCACATGACTTCA